TTTGTAATTAGCTTTAATTGTAGTAGTGTAGTGTCCTCAAGCACTGTGTATGTGTGCACTGTAATAAAAAAACGAAAATTGTTATAGCACAAAAAAAAAAAAAAAATGTCTGGTCATAAGAAAATAATCGTGATCGTGTGTTATACGCTCCAATTACTTTTTTTCTTTTTTAACCGACTTCTCAAAAAGGTAAAGGTTATCAATTCGTCGGAATATAAATATTTTTTTTTATGTATGTTAGAGCATAACTTTGGACCATGTTAACCGATTTCTATAATTCTTCATTTTTTAAAGGAAAGGTGTTACCTCACAGCTGGTAATTTGGTTTAAATCCGATCATTGGATCATGAAGACATTAATCTTAAATTTGTATATGAGAATTGAAGTCGGTTTTGTTTATTGCTTAAAAATTCATTGTTTTCATTCATTTAATTAATTCCGTTCTTTGCTAAGTTCTTTTTGCATAAATACTCCACCGAAACTAAATATTTGTTTATTTGGCCAACTGAATCAGCTCCAAAAGCTCCAAAAAGCCCGCGACCAGGTTTATGTACTTTTTCCTTCTGTTGTTTAAAAAAAAACATGTGTACGAATTATGAATCTAAGCTATACACTGGAGTTATTGAATTTTTTTTTTTCGGAAAACTGCGCACTTTGCTATTTATGAATTTGATTTAAGCTACATATCTATATGAATGTGCAATAGTATATATATGAGTTTATTTTTGAATAAAAAAATCCATTTCGCTATCAGTTTATTGAGTTGATTTCGATAAAAAAAATTATAGGTATGAATGGTTTTAATTGCAGGCTAGAAATTTAGTATTTTTGAAGATACCAAAGGCTGACAATTCCCATTAAATATACCAAAAAAATTTTTGGTCAAATCTTTGCTGCACTAAAGGTTTTGTAATTCCTGCAATTCCTATATTTAAATACCCTGAAGCGGCATTCAAGCGAACAATTAAAATTACAAATTGAAATTTTTAAAATTTAAGTTGGCTGCTAAGCAAAAAAAAAACAAGACTACTTGGCGTTTTTACTTTCACGAAATATTTTATGTACCGGCATTAGCATTAACACGCTTAAGAAAGTTGCAATTCCAATATTTTGCTATTTTTATGTTATTAACTGTTCTGTTTGTTATTAAGTATATCTTAATAAAAGCCCTGGCATATGATTTTTTTCCACGTCATATATCGATGGTCCTCTGTAATAATGACACAATTTAATATTCAAAAAATTAAATCATTAACTAATAAAATCATTAAGTGGCTTAGTCCTTGTCTAACCCATGTCTAATTCTTACTAAAGTAAGTAGTAAAGATTACTGCAATAAGTAGTAAGGATTAGACATGGATTAGAGACATGAGCCACTTGACAGTAGTAAGTTTTTATTTTTTTAATTGTGCCGTCATTGCAGAGGACCATCGATTTGTACATATGTATGTAATCTATTTGCTATTGTTGTATGCTTCAACTTTTGCTTAGTAAATAAACGATAATTACGGTAATTGCTGTCAGAGGAAATAATCCAGTATTCATGTACATAAGTTCGACTAGGATATAAATGTTTTTTATTTTAGTTTTTACTTTTAAACTCAATTATTTTGTGTTTTGTTTTCTTTTGTTTCGGAATATTTAATTGAAAATGTTTAAAGCTAAATAGTGAATTAAATTTAATGTTTTTTTATTTTACTTCGCTTCGCCATTTTACGTTTTACATTTTTGTAATCGATTATCATTAATGTGTATATAATTTATATATGTATGTAAATAATTACAAAAGAAGACGTATAATACGTGTGTAATATGTATAAGAATATATTTATATAACATTCATATGCTTGAGTATGTAGGTATTTATTTAAATAAAAAAGGTAAAAGCAGAGAGCAAGTATTGGTTGTAAATAAAAAAAAGCGCTTGAAAAAAAAACATGTACAAATAAAAAGGAACGCACACCAAAACGGAAT